GCCGTGCCGCAGCTCCCCCACCGCACAGGCCCGCATCCCAGCGGGGACAAAGGGCCCGAGACCCCCCACCCCGGCCCGCCTTCTCCGGGCCGGTCCCGCTGTCCTTCTGTCCGCTCTCTGCGCCCCTCCGTCCTCCTGTCTCTGAGTCCCAGCCTCTCTCCTTGTCCCCCTACCCTTGTCCTCTGTCCCCTGTCCCTCAGTCCCCAAGTCCTGTCCCTCCCTCTGTCTGTCCCCCTTTCTCCTTGCCTCCCTCTCCCCCCACCTCTCTATCCTGCCTTTGTCCCTCACCTCTGTCCCTTGGTCTCTGCTCCTTTTTAGTGGGTCACTTGTCCCCCATCATCCTCTGTCCCCTTCTGTCCCTCTGTATTTCTGCTCTCCCTCTCTGCCCCTGTCTCGCTGTCACCCTTGTTTCTCTGTCCCCTTTTCTCTGCCCCCATCTGTCCCATCCCCTTGTTTCTCTGCCCCCATCTTTCTGTCATTTCTGTTTCTCTAGCCCCCTCTGTCCCCTCTCTCTCCCATTCTCCCTCCTCCAGCCCCCTCTGTCTGTCCCCCTGTCCCTCTGTCCCCTGTCTCTCTGCTTCCCCTCTCTACCCTTAACAACCTCCATCCTGGGATCCCGGTCTCCACCCTCCTTCCCTCCATCTCTCTCACTGTGTTCCCCCGGAGAGGAGTTGAGTCAGGCAGGGCACCCTAAAGGGCCCTGGAGAAATGGGGGGGGCATTGTGTGTGAACCTTGGCATGTGGGCACACACGTGGATTCAGCAGATGCCTCCCCACCCATCCACACACCTAGGCCGTGACTTAGAGAAGCCCCCTCCAGAGCAGCCAGGGAGCCACCCACATACCTTTAACACACGGGCAAAGCCCCTGAGCCTGGGGACAAGGTCAGGAAATGTCACCCCCACACTCACACTCTCACACTGTGTGCCTCGAATGTGCCACAAGCCACCTCCTCCCTGGTGGGTAATGCCAATCTTGGGAGGAACGAAGGATTGGGAGGTGGCTGGGCAGGAGTGGGAGGGCGAGAGGTTCTGTGGAGATCTGAGAGAGGAGTGTAACCAGATGGCACAGGGCCGGGGGCCTGGGTGTAAATCCTGACTCTTGCCATTTGCCACAGTAGCTGATGGCAAGCACCCTCCTCTCTCTAGGGCTCAGTTTCCCTCTCTGTAAAGTATGGATGTTGAACTCAGTGATCTGAAAGGCAAGGAACTCCAGCTTGAACCCCTGACAAGGTGAGGGGCAAAGCTGACCTTTCACCCTCTACCCTGCCTTCTTCTACAGTCTTCTGACATTGCTTCAGAACCTGCATCATCACCTCCTTTCTTTGCGACAGACACGCCACAATTTCCCAGATGAGCGCTTTGGTTCCTTAGCTACATTTCCATCCAATTTTATGTTCCTTTCTTCATTTTTTAGGCCCTAAACACCAGCCTCATAGAATCCCAGAACTAACGAATCCAATAAACAAAGAACCTTGAGGGTGTTTTAGAACATTGGCATCTTTAGGATTCTAGAATCCCAGAATCTTCAGAACCCTGACACCTTTAAAATTCTAGAACCTTGATGGCACCCGCATTCTAGCCTCTGGACATCTTTAAAATTCTGAAGTCTTGGCCTCTTGGAGATCCTGAATCTTGACATCTCTGACATCTAGAATCTCAACAGCTTGCAACTGTGGGACTTTGGAGTCTCAGAATCAGATAACCTAAGATGACCACCTCCTCAGTGCGAGAATCTTTCATCCAGCACTTCTGGGAGGTAGCTTTACTGGTTTGTCCCTGTCGCTGCATCAGGGTACTCTAATCCCTTCTGTAAACTTCCTCTAAATCATGGGGCTTTACAAGTTGGGAGAGAGCTGGTGTCCTGGAAGCACTCTGGGCTGGGAGCGGAGGAACCAGGCCTCTCTGGTGTAATTTAGTATCAGCCCCGGTCCCTCTCTGAGCCTCTTTCCCCTTCGGGAAAGCGTGGGATTAGGGAGCTGGAATACAGGATCTCAGAGGGCCCTGCCTGCTTTCCTTGTCATTTGATGTTTCTGAATGGCTTTGGCCACTAGATTTCGGGGGGGG